AAAAAAGTTGTCTGATTTCATTAAAGATGTGACTCTCTTCACTGACAAACAAGTGAAATTCCAACATATGTCTTTGTTGTTTTGACTTTCATGTTACTCTTTCATGTGAACAAAAATATTAACCAACATTTGTGTTGGGAACCACACTTATTCATCAATTGCAACCATAGTTTGGCTACAGATACAAGAGTTCCATAAAAAAAAAAAATGACAGCATTTTGTAAGAATGAGTGAGCTATAAGTAAAATTTACAATAAAGTGTATTGTATGTTCTATTATTGTTAATTGTATATTTTATTGCGTTATTGTATTACATTTTACTGTATTTAATAGTATTGCATATTCTATTAAATATGTGAATTATACATTTTATTATTTGTATATCAGTAAAATTTCTAATAGACTTCATTGGATTATATATGCAATATACATTTCTTCCTCAGAGAGCTGGTTGTTAAACAGTGACCAGCATACCACTGCCTAACTCGAGAACAGGTTGAATCCTCCTTGGCTTCTCTATCCTACAGGTCCACGCCTTATCTCAGTTCTGCAGTTTACTCTTCCCCTGTCAAGAATATTACAAAGAATTGTACAAGAACACAAATCAAGAGAAAAAGAGGTTTTCCTGAAGACTCAAAGCGTATAATTTAATCTCCCTAATCCGGCCTTTCCTAAGAAGGGTGCCATCCAAGGATGGGCAGATTTAGGCTGATTTGACCATGTCTGCCATGTGGCAAAATTCAGAGTTAATCCTCACAGTCATGATACCCTAACTTAATAAATGTCTTCCCCCTTGAATCGACAGCGATGGCTCCTTGGGAGCAGAGGGGAGGGAGGTATGGCATCAGAGTAGGAACAAAAGGAGTCTGAATCTTCTCATCAAATCTGGAACGTTTGGGATACATAACAAAGGCTCAGTGAGCATTTCCACCTCTCACCAAGCAGAGTGCACATAAACATCAGGTTTTCCTATGGATTTATTTTGAAATTGTCATTGCTTAATTTTAAAATGTCTTTCTAAAGGTGAAGTAAAAGTTACTAACCCAAGAAGTATAGAAATCTGAAATACTGTTACTGGGTAGTCTCGCTGTTCGGCAGCTTCAGGTCAATGCCAACAGCCAACACTGGCCAGTAAGGAATTTCCTTCAGTGCTAAACAGAACAAAACAAGACCTCAAAGTTTCTTAAACAGAACACACACAAAAGGTCAAACCTACCTCTAATCCTATCAGGTTTCTGACTGTTCATTTTACCCCGGTGTCCTTGTCCAGGCATCTATTCAGTACCACTAAGTATTTCCATTTGGGGTGGCCTTATCCCCACCTCCACCTTGACCTTAGTGATTTTTCTTTTAAAAAACAAAAGCAGCAAAAGCCCATGATGTATCTGTTATTATTATTTGAATTCCACGAGGTAGAAACATTTGCTGAACAGACATTCCCCTAATTAAAGGAAATGCAATTTTTCATAAATGAAAAAAGTACAACTGATATAGATAAGAAAAAGTCTTTAGGTAAGTGGCTTTTGATGTCTTATTTATAATGTTACAAACATCAACGCACAAGCAGATTTCTCTGACCTCCAAACAAGAGATGAGTCAATGCGACCATCATAAAATGTTCATATCCATCCACCACAAAAGCAAAACTGGTTTCAAAACATCTTACAGAGCATAAAGCTAGTTTTGACAAATGGTAACACTTTTATTGAATCGGTATGTTCTTGAAACCCAGGCACAGAACTGCTCTGACAAGATCCCGAGGCCCCTGAGAGAGGAATGTTTTTGGTGAAGGTCAGGCTGACACATTTAGGGGGTTGGGGGAAAGAGTGGGAGAAACTCAATCAGTCTGGCACCCTAGAAGGTACGAGCCATGTTATTATATTTTATGAATTAATAATTGTGTTTGTGATAGTAAGAACAAGGTGTGGTGAAGCAATATATTTCAAAGAAAAACATATTTAAGAAACTTAAAAAACAATCGGGAAAAGTCAAGGAGATATTTCTACTTACCAAGCTCTGCTATCTGCATAGAAAGAACATATACTCTCAACCACAGACATTTATTAACTTAAAAATTTTTTATTAGGCATTTCTTTTTCTATAACTTGTTACCTAAGAGTAAAGGAAAAGAACTCCTGGGTCATCACCTAATAACTTGTTCTCAAAATGCAGGTATTTTTCTATTTGACCTTTAACTATTAATCCACACCAGCTGCCACCAACTCATGAATCAGAAGGTAAAAGGAATACATCATTTATTAATATTAAAATCTAGAGGACACTAAATGTCAGATTACTGTGGCTTTAGCCAATCTTATTCCTGTATTATTTCTATATTCCTGTAGGGGGGCTACTAAGTCCAACAAGCTCTTTTCACTAAATCAATATAGAGGCACTTCTGCAACTCATGTCTTTTTAATGTGCTAAACTCCAGAATTTCCTACTAAACTAATGCTTTTAAAAGAGGAATCTCTTGTGAGGCTCTGGGCCCAAACTACCTGCCTTGAATCTTGTCTATGCCACTTGCTAGCTGTGCAATCTTACACAAGTTACGTGATGTGTCTTTTGTGAATACTGGTAACACTAATATCTATCTTATGAGGTGGTATTGAAAACTTGATGAGTTAGCAATACATAAAAAGCATTCAGAACAATGTCTGGAACACAATACGTTAGCTATTTCTATGGCATATTCTATTCTCATGATGACCATACGTATAGTTTGAAAAGGTCTGCATGTACTTTATGAGGGCTAAGTAATTAGATAACTAGAAAAGTATTAATATATCTACCTAGAAAATAAAATTTCTGTAGAGAATTTCCCAAATGACACTTTAAAAAAATTCATTTATTTTACCAGTTCAAGCTGAGAATAAGGGCTTTAGCAATGAGTAATCAGTGCCCATGCACAGATGTTTATCATTATTGAATGAATAATATATTTCAGTATTTTTTGTTTAACATTAAAAAAAAATGTATCACTTAGCCAATAGGGGTATTTATATGAAATCAAGTAATAATATTATCTGTAGCCTAGGTAGATTTCTACCCACCAAGTAGGTCTAACATAGAGTTTACCTTTGTGTCAGCATTTGGCATCATTCCAAATCATGAGATCACATTTTACTTCCCAGTCTCTCTAGACTGTTGTGTGAGTTACTAATTTATTGTCTCTCCGCTTCAAATGTACGCTTCAATGTCTGTTCACAAGAATCCAACGATTCTTTTAAGCACGCTGTTTCCCTAGTGAAAGGCATCTGAGGCTCTAGCTGCTGCGTGGCTGGTCAGCAGATGCAGAACATGCAGGGATGCTCTGCCCCTGCCATGTACCCAGGACTGCAGCCCCTGCTCAGCCTGGTGACTGCCTTCCCATGGCATCCCAACAGACACCAAGTGCGGTAGCGGCACCCTGACCCCGCAGAGCACAGGCCCAGCATCTGAGGCTGAACTGCGCCCTGGAAGGAGGCTTCGTATTTCCCCAACAGCTGCAGACAGATCTGGCCTGGGCAACAAAATGACTTTCTCTGCTACCCAGTGGGCTGCCATTGTTGGACCCTGACTGATAAGTTTGTCAATATAGAGGACTGGACACGAATACACTAATTAGAATTAGTGTCCAATATAGAAGATTGGACACTAATGATACAGATGCCAATATAGAAGCCTGGGGCCTCTAAAATAAAAGCTCAGGTAAATACTTTTGGTTCTGAATTTTGACCAAAGATATTAAAATTAATGTGTTCTATATCATGATTTTTCTTCTTTAGAGGAACTAAGCCCCTAATTTTTTACAGTTTATGTTTTTCTAAGCCTGCCATTCAGAGGTAGAATTTGTAAATACTTAACCTCAGGATTTCGGGTTAATGGTAATTGTCTGTAATGGAAACGAAAATCTCTCAGCACTTCCTGCATACAATTACCATAAAGGCACAAAGAGAACCACTACAGAGAACATACAAATTGATTTAAGAGCAGTCATGTAGTAAACACATTAGTGCTATTACTGAGCAGCTGGACCATTGGTTATCTCGAGTGGAAAATGCTATCTTTTAATACAGAACTATCTCAGCAGCAGTAACGCAGCTTAGAAAGCTGTATACTGCGACGTAGCGTTTGCATTTTGGTGCTGCACAGAGATCCCAGGTGTGGCACTTCTGAGCTGTGTGCTTTCGGCCAAATTACATAATCTCTGAGTTTGTTTCCTTATCCTGTCTTACAGTGGTGATTGTAAAGTAGGCCATACTTACCTTATAGAATTAATCTGAATTCTAAACATGATAAATAAACACCACTGTGATTAATTTTTCCTCTTGTTCCCTCGTTTTTTTAGGTAAGACAATATTGAGGCACAGAAAAAAGGTTTTTACTGAGAGTGCAGTAATTTATAAAGTTGAAACTATGCTTAAAATACTCTTGATTTAAGTATGCAAACTCGGGAAACGTTACGTACTTAAATACCAATAGCTCTACTGAGAAGGGTGGTAATTGATTAGGTATGACCCTATAGCTTCCTAATAAGTGCCATTATCAGACTGCTGATAAGCCACTGATGCAAAGTGTAGAATATGTGCAATTTTTGTGATTGAAAAATGACACCTTAGATTTATATACTTCATACCTGATAAAATGCTATGTCTACTATCATTCAATTTAATCACAACAGCCGTGTCTTTAAAAGACCTATTTTTTAGTGATAGGAGTAACAAAAAATTTCATAAACTAAGAAACTTCAGAAAAAAAAATTATTTTAGGTGTGGAAGAAGGAAAAGTCATAACTAATTAATGATTTTGCTAATAATTTCTCAACTTTTAATAAAAGCCCAACTTTCCCTTAATTGCACCTATCACAGATAGTAGAGGTTAAATTAGAGGTTTAAAAAAATAGGCACTTTCCTAGAAAGAAAAAGGCTGCTAGGATTTGTTGCATAAAATATAAAAGTGACAAAATGTGATAGTGAACTTTATATGATAAAGAAAAACAGTCACTAACTGAGGCTAACAATAATTTTTCAAAAGGCTTTACACCTAATAATTTCAAATAAATGGAATCTTCCAATATTACAGGTCTAGACAAACCATGCCTTCCCTCCAACCCTGCCTGCTCCCATGTCTTGAAACCAATGTAGACACTAGATAATACCTTTTTAAAATCCACAAAAACTGTTTTAAATAATTTCAGTGGAAGACTCTTGCTTTTTCCATTTATAAAAAAGTTTAAATGTCTTCTGAAATATACCATTTGCTGTACGTAACTTAACAGAACCTTGATCTTTTGTATGCTGGAAACGGGGGCCGTGGGCACTGTTTAGGACTGGGCAACGGACCCGCCGTTGCCGCATTATCTGACAGCCAGCACCAGCACGCGCCCACGCGTACACTCATAACCCACCACCGCAAACTTACATGTCTGACATTCTTCCTACTTCCTCTTCCTTAAAGCCACTTGACCTAATGCAGAATCTTCACAACTCATGCCTTCACTATAGCAAAAGCTTCCAGCTGGTTCTTGCTGATTGCTGTCCTCTCTGTTGACTGACCTTGCATACTGTGGCCAGACTAGTCTTTTAAGTAATTCTGCATTGTTGTTTCCTTTTTCAAAGATCAATAAATGTTTCCCATTAATAATGTTACATTTAAATTAATGGCTCACTTGGTTCTTTCATTTTGTAACTTCACCTGAGACAAAGTCCATTATAATGCAATATGTAATGAGGACAAATTTTCCTTGAAAACTAAGATTTAAATGTCATTTTAATTTTTCTTCCGCACTGTGAGCACAATACATTAACTCACAGCACCACCTACCTTTCAGTAAAAGGTTTGGAAACTAGGTTTACTTTTAGCATAATGCCCCGAAGGCTGGCCTATGCAATATAGAATAAAATTAAGTCTAAAATGCAAAAAAGGAAAAAGAAGATCTAAAAATACAAGTTCCATTTGACTCTCTATATAAAATACTTATACCAGTACATATAAATTTCTTAGTAATATTCCAAACAAAGGAGTCTGGCCAGCAGTATACTAATACTTTAATCTGACATAGTAGTGGACAAACTGTCCCTGTAAATGTTAACTAGAAGCTGCGGTCGGGGAGAAGCAGGGCTCTTTTGACTTACAGATTCTACTATTCATTGATATTCTCCTGCCCAAGTGTTAACTGGAAGGTGTATTGTTCTTTCCTTAGAAGTATTCTCAATATTTTAGCCATGTTCCCTGTTTAGATGAGAAAAAAGATGACCAGGTATAAAATTTCACTTGTATATCCTCTCACCATGATGCCTATCAGTAGTAAAAATATATATAAAATGTGGGATAGAGCCTGCTCGGGCAGCGTAGTTCTTTCTCTACAATGATCCAAAACACATACACCATAGTTCTTTCACAAATCAGTGTTACTCTTTGACTTCACACCGAAGTAAAATTCTTTTTTTAATAGAAATTACAATTTCCTTACATAAACCTAAGCAGTACAGAAATATTAGAGAAAATACTTTTTAGCACGAACGAGCTTTTGTACCAATAGCTGAGAAGTGCAACCATGAAGCAGCTGATGGTATGAAAAGCCTGGTTGTGATGTCCACGAAGAAGTAAAAGGTCTTAAACTTAGACAGCCTTTCTCCTGTGCGTGCACAACGTCCCTATATGGCGGGGCGGGGTGGGGTGGGGATCAACGTCCATGTAACCACAGAGGAACAGATGGTGTTTGCACCTCAGTCCACGGAAAACTAAACAGGGCCCCAGGCCAAGGGTTATTTATGGCTGTTTCATGCTCTAGTCCTTAGATACAAAAATTAGGAAAAAAAACAAAATGAAACAAAACAATTCCAGTTAAAACTGACTAAAACAATTTCAGTCAAAACTGAAAAAAACAACACAAAACAATTCCAGTTAAAATTGACTGAAAATATAACTTTTACATTTAACATATAAAAGTTATTCTAAAAGTTGTAGTTGGTTACAACTTTCAGTAAAACTGTTAATATGACAAAAGTTTGGAAGACTATTTAAAAAGAAAACAACCAGCTTGTTAAAACTCAGTAATTGGATTAAGCATTTTCTTAACAATTCATAGATTGGGGTTCTAATTATTTCAGGAGGCTCTTTTCTTTTCCTTTCCTTTTCTTTTTTCTTAGAGAGTAAAGTTCATCATGTCACACCATACAGCTTGTACCAGACAATCTTTAGGGTAATCACGTCAGCAGACACTAACACAAGCCAATTTCAGTACAACTGTCTTGCCAGTAATAGAGTTGTTAAAAGAAACTCTTCTAACCCTTATAATAATTAGTGAAAATTTCATAGCATCAATGGAATAAGAAGGATAGTTCTCACCTGCTTCATATGCCTGCTCTTCTACTCTTTGCATTTCATATCCATTATTTACCTAATGTCATAGTAATTTTAAATGCCTCCTTTCTTCCAGTCCCCTTTAAGCTGATCCAGGAAAATTACTAATGCACTTCAAGGTTTCACTTAACTGCCCTGATCTGACTGGCATGGTTCAGTTGGTTGAGTGTTGTCCCACAAAGTTAAAGTCTCTGGTTTGATTCCTGGTCAGGGCACATGCCTGGATTGCAGGTTCGGTCCCAGGTCTGGGAGCATACAAGAGGCAATCAATCGATGAGTCTCTCTTGCACTGATGTGTCCTCTCCCTCTCTTTCTCCCTCCCTTTCTCTCTCTCTAAAAATAAGTAAAAAATCTTAAAAAAAAAAAAAGTTTCACTAAACTTCTGTGTCCTAACATTTAAAATGCAATAGAAATTTTTACATTGTCTCATCTTATTGCACAATACAAACTTGATTAAAATGCATTAAGAGACAACATTTTGTGTTCAGATCAACACTAAAATGTTTGGTAGTAAATATATTTTAATATATTCCAACTTAGTATGAAGGTGAGCAGTTATTTCTGAGGGTTTAAATATTTCAACTATAGTTTACCATTGAAACAAGCAATTTTTTGGTCTCTCTTTCTTTCTTCATTTCTGATTTAAAAATTTTTTCTCTTTAGAAGTTCACAGTGTCACAGGAGTAAAAAATAAGACTGATAGAAAGCACTCTAAAACATATGGCTTTATATACATAAAAAATTCAATAATGTTGCCGCAACCCCTCATACAATGTGATCCTTATTTACTATTACCCAGAATAAACTTCTGTACATATTAAATTGTTCAAGTATATCTACAGCAGTGCTTGTAAAAGTGAGGTCCCACTCCTAAATTAGTGGGTGTTTCTTTGAAGACCACATCCAATGTCAATACACTTAAGTACAATTGTAACAATTTTTTGAGTTTACAATTTATCATACATTCTCAAATATTCTAAAATGCTCCAAGGAGCCAAACATATGATTGCACTTACATCTAGTTTAACACCCCCTTTGTACAGCACCAAGATTAAAAATGGATTTAACTAAATGTTCTCTTTTTTAATTATTGTAGTTACAGTTTGTTATCACTTATTTCTATAACATTAAACCCACATTAAAAATGAAGACAACTCGGGTCAAATTCTTTCACCTTAAATAAATAAACATTTCATCCACTTCACACTTAAATACCTAATTTTTTTCATACAGTATAAATGGATAACAGTTCTATCTTTGAGAACTAGGCCAGTCGAATAGGATTCTCTAGGTTTGCTTTAAAACTTTCAAGAAACCTGGTAGCTAGTTCATCATCAACTAGTCGACCATCACTTGACATCGTGACTCTGATGAGCTGGTGCTGCTGCAGTTTGTCGTTCCCCTCTTCATCCCGAGTGAGCTTCAGCACAGGTCGGGATCTCCCCACAGCCAAAATGCAGGCCTGAGGGGGGTTGATCACTGCAGTAAATTCATCGATGCCAAACATCCCCAAGTTGGAAATACTAGAGAAAACAGAAAGCTCTGAAGGGTGGCGTGTCGTCAATCAAATTAGACTTTCCCCAAGCATATGTTTTTACTTTACTAAAAAACTGTGCTGTAGACCTTATACCAAGTCATTCAGAGACCAAAGATAAAAGGCTGTTATTTATGATATTATCAAAGATTGTGTATTAAATATTGACACACATACAGATATTATATCTAATATAAACACCTGTTCAAGCATTGAACTGGAAGTTGTAGGCAATGGCATATGGCAAGAAAAAGAAATGTAAAACACAAGGACTAAAAAAAAATAAAACTGTCATTATTCACAGATAAACTGATTGAATACATAGAAAATCTAAGACTCCAAAGATAAAATAGTCAGATTGAGTAAATTTAGCTAAGTCACTAGATAAAAGGTCAATATAAAAATTCATTTTCTATCTACATACAAGTTGCTGTAATTACAAAATAAAATTTAAGAATACCATTTGCAATAATATCAAACATATCAAGGAATAAATCTAATAAAACATTTAGAGACTTCTATACAGAGAACTACAAAACATAACTGAAAGAAGTCAAAGAACTGAATAAACAGTGGTTTATGCCATAGTCATTGGCTGGAAGACTCAAGCTGTAAAGATGTCAATTCTCAAACTAATCAAAAGAGTCAATGCAATCCCAATCAAAATCCAAGGAAGGTTTGGTGTGTGTAAGACAAAGGAACAGCTGATCCTAAAAAAAAATCTATGTACTATAAATGGCAATTTCAGATGGATTACAATCTACATCTGAAAAGTTCTAATCCCACTAGAGCACAACATAGAGGAATAACTTCATGAGTCTTTAGGCAATAATTCCTAACAGAAAACAAGGACCAACTATAAAGAAAAATACTGATAAATAGGACTTCCCTAAAATTCAGAAAATTGTTTATTAAAAAACACCGTCAAGAAAGTTCCATGGAGAACATTAGGCTAAATGAAACAAGCCAGTCAAAGAAAGACAAATACCATATGATTTGTGGAATCTACTGAACAAACTGAACTAACAAGGAAAATGGGGACAGACTCATAGATGGAGAGCAGGAGGACAGCTGGGGCAGAGGGAGGTTAGGGTAGGAGGGACTGAACAAAAAGGAAAAAGGACTCATGGATGTGGACAACAGAGGGTGCCTACTGGGGGGAGGGGATATGGCGGGACTAAATGGTAATAAAAAAATACAATAAAGATTAAATTTTAAAAAAGTTCCAAAGGCAAGGTACAGAGTGGGAAAAGGCATTTGGAATAATCCTACAAAGGTCTGTGTATCTAGAAATGAGAACTCCTACAAATTATTTTTAAAAGTAGACACAAGACTTCAGCAGGTACTTTACTGATGAGTTACCAGATACCCACATGACTGACAGAAAAATGAAAGCTGTTTTCAACATTATTAATTTTCATTGCCCTGACCACAAAGACTACCACTACATACTCCAAGAATTGTGAAAATTTAAAACCTAGCATTACTAGCAGGAATTCTCATACACTGTTAAGTATAAATTTGTATATGCATTTTGAAAAATTGTTTGGCAGTATCTCTTAAAGCTTTTAACCTACCAATTCTATTTTTAGTGTATACAATGAAAATATGTATACTCATCATAAGACACTAATAAAATGTTCATAGTACCATTATTTGTAATTGCACCAAACTCTATAAGCACCATAAATGCCCATCAGTAAAATGGATACTGGCATATTTTTACAGCGTACTACAAAATACTAGATACTGCAATAACAACAGATAAACGACTCCTTCACATAGCAACATGGTTAATCTCACAGACATTAATGCTGAGTGAAAGAAGCCAGGCACTAAGAATGCGTGTTTAGCTCCAGCTAGGTGTCTCAGTTGGGTGTTGTCTTGTATGTCAAAAGGTTGTGGGTTCAATCCCCCATTGGGGATTGCATGTTGGAAGGCAATTGATTGATGTCTCTTTCTCTTTCACCCTTTCTCTTCCTCTCTCTCTAAAATCAGCAAACATATCCTTTGGGTGAGGCATTTAAAAAATGCCTATTTATATAAAGATCAATGCTAGCAAAGCAAATCTATGGTGATTTTGAGAATAATGATTATCTTTAAGAGGGTGGAAGGGTAGAGGGAGTATATCCTGCTTTGGTTGGTTACACAAGTTTCTTTACTTTGTAAAACATTCAAGCTATACTAAGTGCATTTTATTGTGTCAGTTACACTTAAAAATAGAGCCGGTAATAACTGAAGAGTCTAAGTGTTAATATTTTTCCCACAGGTACCTTAACATAAAATATCACAGTAGAAAAAATACAGTTGAAGTTTATAAATCTATTGTATTTATATATTTTTAAATATCAAAAACAAATTCTGATTGTCATTCTGTGAACAATTTAATGAGTTAACTAGCTAACCCTAAAGGGTTCCTACTAGCTTTGGTACAAAAATCTGACTTGTCTGAAGAATATTTTTGCATATTTCATTATCTACATATACTATGTGATATTTAAATTTTTTTAAAAGTTTCAGAAAACAAAGAAAACAGGTTAGCATGGGCTTTATAAGTCTTCTGTTTCATGCTACTGATAATTAAGACTTTACATTTTACCTGAAAGATCCTCCTTGGTATTCTTCAGGTAACAATTTTCCATCTCTTGCTTTCTTTGACAGAGCCTGAGAAAAATACAATGTGTGTCAAGTAATGCCATGTTATAAACAGTACAGGTTATTTGTCATTTGAAATATTTCTACAGGGTACAGTCTCATTTCCTATATGCTTTGATTTGACTTTATAAGATGTATCTATGATTTTCTCTAAAATAATTTTTAAAATGAACAAGATAGAATACAGATAAGCTAAAGAAGCTAAAGATGTGAATCAAAACTCTAGAAAAATCACTTTCCTTTAAAAATTCTTCAAATACTCATATTACCTTATGCACTATTACTATGCAGAATGTTTTAATGTTTTCTATTTTGTCTACAAAATTTTTCTTAGAAGATAAAATATTAGAAGAAGTCATTTTTGTCAATTTAGTATTTTAAATAAACTATGCAAAAGCAACAAACCCACAACCAACATGTCAGTTTTCATCTTTCAGTTTTTGCCTCTTTTTTTATCCATAACATATATATAATTTCAGACAGTTGTTAAAAAAAAACCCAGAACTCTCTACTTTGCTTTTCAATATTATAAGCATCTTCGGTGTTGCTAAGTCTTTATAAACAATTTTTAATGTTTGCTTAACATTCTAAAGACTGTATCTGCCAGAATTTACTTAGTCATTTCCCCAGTGTCATCATTTGGTTCACTGGTTTCTTTTGAATGATTTCATATAAATTCTCAGAAGTGGAATTACTAAGCCCCAGAAAATGGACATTATTTCGGTTCTTGATCCTATAGCTGAGCCATTTCCTGAAAGAGCTAGTCCAATTTACACCACCACACAGAATGCAGGAATGTAGTAATTTTATATCACCCTTGACAATACTGACTTCTAAAAACCTATAGAACTAAAGACAGATGATACCCTGAGAGTGACTTTAAGAAAAGTCATTAAATTTTCCTCTACTTGCACTTGCAATTTACCACACTTCTGTTAATTTTTATTTTTCAATGCTTCCATAAAAAGGAAACATAGGTTGAGTCATTACCTATGAAAAATTAATAATGAATTATTCTATGAAGAGAAGAATAAAATTCTTGTCATTTGAATAGATAAACTAAATCAGGGCTTACTTAATATTCTGGATTATATAGCTAACATAAGTAGTTACAACCACCATTAATAAGTATTTAATTTTAAAACATAAATGATTTCATTTTTGAAAACTAAAACATTCTTAAAAAAATCTAAAAATGATCTCGGTGTATCACTATGACTTAATGCAAGAGAAACAACTACAGATTCATACTATTTGGATATAGTTACTTATGAAGCTATTTAAAACCAAAATGAAAAATGAAGAGATGGACTTGTATAGTCCGTGGAATAACAGAGGTAGAGAGAACAACCTACAAATGTATTTTTCCTGCCTTAAGCAATACAACTGGTCACATGATTTGAACAGGCACATATTATACAGACTCTGAAAGGCATTTCTTCCAAGGCAGATGATCTCCATATACCCATACCGCACAAAAATAAAATGCATATTCATTTTAGAAACTAGATTGCAAGGACACATAATATGCTTAAAAAAAAAAACCCCCTCGTAGCCCTGGCTGCTGTGGCTCAGTGGACTGAGTGCTGGCCTGCAAACCAAAGGGCCACTGGTTCGATTCACACGCAGAGCACATGCCTGCTTGGGTTGTGGGCCGGGTCCCCAGGGCGGGGCGCATGCGAGGCAACCACACATTCTCGCCGTCTCTTTCTCCTTCCTTTCCCCTACCTCTAAAACTAAATAAAATCTTAAAACAAAAACCTCTGTAAACCTGAACTCCATCCGCAGAATATTCCTATCAATGAACCTTAAGAGTCTAAAATAAAAATAGAATCGGAGGAGGATGGTTGGTTCCAAAAATTCCTAAAGAATTCTCACTGGGTTTTCCTGGTGATATGACAATATGAACTTAAAATAAAGCAGCTGTTACCTGAAACATCCAACTGAAAGGATGTAATACAAGATGGCTCGCAAATATTTCTAAAATACATCACATGCCTTATTAATTCACTCAAAAATTTTACTGGGTACTGAGGTAACTTTACCTCTGCCTTTATAAAAAATATATTTTATTGATTTTGCTATTACACTTGTCCCAATTTCCCCTTGCCCCTCTCCAGCCAGTACTCCTATTCCCTCCAGCAAACCCCTCCCTTAGTTCATGTCCATGGGTCATGCATATAAGTTGTTTGGCTACTCCACTTCTTATACTGTTCTTAACATCCTCCTGTCTATTCTGTACCTACCAATCTGTACTTCTTAATCCTTACACCTTTCCCCCCATTCTCCCCCTTCCCTCTCCCAGCTGATAACCTTTCAAATGATCTCCATATCTATGATCCTGTTCCTGTTCTGCTTGTTTGCTTAGTTTGTTTTTTAGATTCAGCTGTTGATAGTTGTGCATTAGTTGCCATTTTAATGTTAATAGTTTTGATCTTTTTCTAATGTAGTTCCCCTTTAACATTTCATATAATAATGGCTTGGTGATGATGAACTCCTTCAGCTTTACCTTGTCTGGGAAGCACTTAATCTGCCCTTCCATTCTAAATAATAGCTTTGTTGGATAGTGTAATCTAGGTTGTTGGTCCTTGTTTTTCATCACTTGGAATACTTCTTGCCAGTTCCTTCCTGCTTGCAAATATTCTTTTGAGAAATCAGCAGACAATCTTATGGGAACTCCTTTGTAGGTAACTCTCTGCCTTTCTCTTGCTGCTTGTAAGATTTCTCTCCTTATCTTTAATCTTTGACATTTTAATTAGGATGTGTCTTGGTGTGGTCCTCTTTGGGTCCAACTTGTTTGGGACTTTCTGTTTCCTGGACTTGTAGGTCTATTTCCTTCACCAAATCAAGGAACTTTTCTTTCACTGTTTTTTCAAAGAAGTTTTCAATTTCTTGTTCTTCCTCTTCTCCTGCTGGCATCTATATGATTCGATGCTGGCATGTTTGGAGATGTCCCAGTGGCTCCTTATTCTATTCTCATTTTTTCAATTCTTTTTTCTTTTTGTTGTTCTGACTGAATGTTTTTTTCTTCCTTATGTTCCAAACCGTTGATTTGAATCTCGGCTTCATCCCTTCCACTGATGGTTCCCTACGGATCTTTCTTCATTTCACTTAATGCAACCTTTATTTCTGATAATTTATTTCTTTATTTCTGCGTGGGTCTTTTTTATGCTAGTGCAGTACCCAATGATTTCTTTGAGCATCCTGATCACCAGTGTTTTGAACTCTGCATCTGATAGGTTACTTATCTCTATTTTATTTCGTTCTTTTCCTGGAATTTTGTTATGTTCTTTCATTTGGGCCATATTTCTTTGTCTTCTCAATTTGGCAGCCTCCCTATGTTTGTTTCTCTTTATTGGGTAGAGCTGCTTTGACTCACTGTGTTAGTAAGATGGCCTCCTGTAGAAAAGGCACCCATCTGGATGAATGTGGCTTCTGCAAATCCTTGGTTGTTGGACTTCCATACAGGTCAATTTTCTGATGAATTTGGGTGATATTTGTTTTGTGGTTTAGTTGTAGTTGTAGTTGCTGTAGTTGTACGTGGAGGCAAAGCAAGTTTACCTATGCCTCCATCTTGGCTGGAAGTCTCTTAAATCTGGCATCAGTGGATTCAAGGAAACACAGACGGTAGTCCCAAAAAGTGGAAGAGCACAATAATGGACAATCCTTGCAGATGTTTCTCAGAAACCGAAAGGCTGTCTCTAGGAAGCCATATGGAGTCTAAGCGAGATGTTCTTTCCCTGAGGTCCAGGGGCTCACAAGCTATCTTCTAACTGAAATTTTCACTAACTGAAATCTAGCATTTCCTTACGTTGCGGGTTTGGTCCCCAGTCGGGGCGCATGTGGGAGGAGGCTGACTATGTTTCTCTTTCTCTCCCTCCCTTCCTCTCCCTCGGCCCGTGGCTAGTCGGGCGGTCTAGACGGTGGCCCCTTGCATGCACTGTGCCACAGCACAGCTCTACCTCTGCCTTTGAAAACTGATTTAATTAATGAGAAATTAAGAAGAGTGTGGGACCTAAGGCTTGCTACTATATTACTCTGTTTAGGGAATACAAGCTTGAACACGGCTGAGACACACCATTAGGACCACACACTGACATCCTTGGGACAAGGAAGTAAATACTTAGTGCAGGTGTTCCTAACTTGGGGTCCATGGGTGCATTTACAGGGACCTACAAACTCCTTGGACAATTAATTTCAGTAAGAGTTTTTATTAAAACATTTTTAAAAATGTATTGAGCAATTATTATCTTCCAAGTACTCTTCTAGAATTGGATATATGACAATGAACAAGGCAGTCAACATGATATAAGAGGGAGCGTAGAAGGATCACCAAATAAGGGAATTTCAAAGACTGATAAGCCAAACAACGACAATGAAACAGGGTAACGTAAGAAGCTGTTCTGGCTGTGGAAGCCACAGAAGGCCCAAGAGAGTTGTATCTGAAATGAGGAATGCCTGGATTTAAATAAATCCCCACTTCTACTGCTTTCTAAATGCATCACTTTGGGCAAATTTCTTAAAAACGTTAAACTCAGTTTCCTCAATTTTAAAATAGGGATGTTTGGGTTCCAACTATAATATTGGGTCAACGGGATCAGATGAAATGCTAAGCCTAGTGTCTGCTGTATCGTAAGAGCAAGAGTGGAGTGTTGATCATAGGCAGCAGGGCGGGAGAGAGAAGCAGGCAGAATGAGGAGTATAAATGAGTAGCCAGAGCACAGCAAACCTTAGAGTTGCTGGGAACTACAGGGAACACCAAGGATTACCAGAGCCCCGGGACACCCTAAAGGTTAGGACTGCCCTTCCCACAGCGGGGAGGCTGCTGACACTGCTTCCTTTCCACTCAATAGCTTCGATTCTTTCAGGATGGAAGGAAGAAAGAATGCTAATATAGTTACTTTAAGATTTATTTATCACAGTAGTAAAATTGGTAAACTAGAATCAAAGAAACCTTCCTATAATTGTTAATTTTTTTAAATTAAATACACATAAAGGTAAGAAAATTCTAACTCTAGAGTTAAAGTCAATTCCATTTGATCTTCACAAAGACACTAAAATACATGTAATCTCACTGCTGCTGAAAGCCCTTGATGAACAAAAGGCATGCACTATCCTAGTAAACCAACCTGCTACTTTGACTTTTAAATTGGCCAAATTAATACCACCTCTCAATTACAAAATACAGTTCCACCAATCTTTTCAAAAAGAAGTGAAGAAAAGGCTTTAAAATGACAGTTCTATTAAGGTCACCTTTAATTATATCTAACTCTAAAATTCCAAAGGTATGCTTTTTAAACTAGATTGCCTTGCATTTACTTATTTTGGGCAAGCAGGTCTACAAATTTATATACCGCCAGCTCTCCAAAGAAATCTTATCTTCTACTTTTTAAGCCCCCTTACATATTGTTCTACCACTATATATACAACTGGTCCTTCATAAATGAAAAAAGAATCACTTATCTAAATGAATCCGAATTTTCATTACTAACACTAAGATATTTCAGACCAAAACACACACTTAGAAATTACTGAGGCTGTTAAAGCTGACCAACTGTCTGTATTCCTGCTTATTCCATGTGATATTTTTGGTAAAATAAGTTTCTTCTATATTAGAGCTACAAAACTGCTTTTAGAGAAACCCAGGAAAAATAAAGTATTTTTGTTTTTGGAATACTAAGTACATTTAATGGTCTCAATTCTAGAAAGGAAATGAATAAATTTTTAACAATAAAATGATGTTAACACTGAGGTCTATTACCACTTTAATAAAAATATAGTTTCAGTTTTAACTGTCTAAAATATCATCTTTAAAGTTGAATTCCAGACTTCACTAAGTAAAGTATTCATCTATAACTTGAATGCAGTTGACCGTAATTTATCTATATGTTATTTTTGAAATTTTGAATGTTAAATGTTCTTAAACTGGGTCGTGCCTGGATAGAAACTTAAGACTCCATATACAGAAATGACAATCATTTGAAATGCATACATACATACATACATACGTACACACACACAACTGTGTGTGTATATATAATTACATATATAGATATGTGCATATTACATCAATCATAAAGTGATCAGATCATGTCAAGGCTTATTCAGAAAGTAAACGCCAACATTTTCAAAGCACAGTATTTCTTAAGGCATACCTTCACAGAGTCAGCGATTTCCTGTATACCCTTAGCAGCAGCATTTTTTATGATTGGTGTAATTAAACCTTTATCTGTCGCCACAGCCACTGAAATGTCAATAAAGGGCAGTTGCTTTGGGCCTTCTCCATCCCAGCTTACATTAACACTTGGCATTTGCTAGTAAACAGAAACAGAAAAAAACATGTTACTAAAGAAGCAGCTTTATACCAAGGTGATTACAGAAAAATAACTAACGCTATTATGCATATCTGAAAGTGAATAGAGCTAGACAGGAGGAAATAAAAATTTGGTATAAAAATAATTTGGATCTCTGTGTTAATATCCTTTATGTTTGGGACGAATAATTAAGCATACCATCTTTTTTGAAGCAAGCTGAAGTTGCCCTCAACTCCACCCTCTTTAAACATTTTTTAATCTCATCTCCTACCCTCTGCTCTTGCTAACTTCACTCTAGGCACACTTTAGCCTCAGTGCCAGGTCTTTGAATGACATAATCCACTCCTCACAGCCTTTGTGTTTGCTGTTCCCTGGGATGATAATCTTCTAGCACATACCTACTCGGCCCACACGCTCTCTTTTTGCAGGCCTTCTCTCAACAGTCGCCTTGCCAGAGAGGCCTTCCTTTATAAAAAAACACCCTTAGGTATTCTGTCCGCATACCCTATTTTCTTTTTCACCTCAGCACCTTCATCATATGATTTATAGTATTTGTTTGTCTCTCCCAATTATAACTTAAGCCCCGCGAAAGCAGAAAATATGCAACCTTTTGTTCACTACCCTATTTCTAATGTCTGGCATGTATTTAGCACAAGATAAGGGGATCAATTAATATTTGTTCAATAAGCGGTCTTTATTCTGCTATGATTAATTAGTTGTAAACCCTTCTGATTCTCAGTTTCTTCATCTGTAAAACTTAGGAAGAGTAAGTGACAGAATGATTTTTGCAGTAAAATTATAAAATGTTTGTGCCTCAAAAGTATCAGTTCAATTTATCACATAAAAATTTAAAGACGTGCCACACATGGCTGGCTGGCTCAGTTGGCTGGAGCACTGTCCCATACACCAAAAGTCTGTGGGTTTGATTTCCGGCCAGGGCACGTGCTTAGATGGTGGGTTTGATTCCCCAGTCAGGAGGCCCACGGAAGGCAGTCAATTGATGTTTCTCTCTCTCTCCCCCCCCAACTTCCTCTCTCTCTGAAATCAATAAACATGACCCCAGGCAAGGATTAAAAAAAAAAAAAATCAAAGATGGGAGAGTACTTTAGGAGCCAAAATTATTGGGGTTTGCTACTTACTTTAAGGGTAACAGCTGCTGCCTTGATGATAAAATCATTCACTGAGACTTTAATGTCATCTGAAAGGAAAACAAGCACATCAAAATTATTGTTCATAATAAACGTTAGTACTGATGATTAAGATTTCGAACCTGTAAATTATGGGCTACAATGACAAATGATGACAAAAAAACATTACAGGTTTTTATTTGTTTGCTTATTCAATAAGGGTCTGCTGATCAGAAGAAGTTGCATTATATGAGGTCCTGGATAAATAGGATTAATCATGAATGTAAAAGTTTATTTCTGGGCCTTGACTATAATTCTTTAAAATTTTTCAGATGTCATACATAAGAACTTGAAGGATACATTGTAGTCTCAATCAGACAGAAAAGAATGTCTCTAAAGAGACAAACGATTTCTCTGTGAGGTATATAAACAGGATGTTTGCAAGGTCATTCATTTTTTTTCTCATCCTTTTCAAATGTCCTTATTCTGTGTACGCTTTATAATATAATGATTCTATGAGAGCTGTGGTACCTGCAGTCACTTTAGGAAAAACAAATATATATCGAGGGGAGATTTAAAAATTTCTTTTTACTAGTTGGGTGCATGAGAAAAATTTGAGACCACTGCATTAAATGAGATCTGCTTTTTAACTTAACAAAAGAGGATATAGCACATGTCAGAGATGAGGCAATGTTGGTGTAGGTCCCAGTGCAATAAGTAAAAATGAGGTTTTCTGTCTAGTTTTATGGCGACTCCATTTGAATTAATTTCCTTCCAATACACATAATAATTTTAAGATAAAGCTGAGGTCCTCTCCCTCCCCACAGAGTTGATATAGCTTAAAGCATTTGATTTATATTTCTGCTTTTCCCAATGGATAAGAAAGTGTTGAAAAATGTAAACTGTAGTTGATTCTTCATTGCAAGAGCTTCTAGAAGAAGTCTTTAAGGTGTAGTCATTGGTATGTGGCAGGAATCACAAATCCTGTTATTACAGTATCATGGAATTCTGTGTGAACCCCAGCTCATTCCAAAGGCATGCTGAACACTTCAGAAAGAGATTAGATGAATACTGTAAACACTGCCAAACAGTCATGGTAACTGTCAGCCTCTTGTTTAGTTCACAGCTCTTCTAATTCAGATTTCCAGAAACACACACATTTTCTGTTTCTTTAAGATCCCTTTAGGAATAGAAATATAAATGCATTTCCAGGGCTCAGACTTCTAATGATAAACCATATAAAAGACTTGGTCTGTACAAATTCAGACATGTGGACATACTCTCTTACGAACTCATTATGTTTACCTTTCATGGCTTCCTCAGTTTCCCTCTCACTTTATCTACTATCCATAGGTATCCACCGTGAAGACTTCCCAAACCACTACCAGCTGATGATTTCTAAACCTCCCAGCCAAGTCCACAGTCCTCATCTCAAATTCTCTGCCCCAGACATACTCCCAATACGCCGTATTCTTTGGTTGGACACTGTTTTCCTCTCCTTTCTTTTCCTGGCTTCGTCGTCACCACACTCTCCTGGCTTCCTTCCGCTTTCTGTCGCTTGTTCATTTTCAGTTTCTTCCTCTGAATGTTGGCATGTCTCCAGGTGAGAACTTTCAGTTCCATAGTTTTGATACCATTTTTATGATTCCTCCAAATTCTTCCGCTAACCCTAACGTATTTGGAGTTTTAGACTTATATATCTAATTTTTCACATGACATTTCCACCCACATGTCTAATAGGCATCTCAAATCGGACATGTGTAAAGGAAATTTTTTCAAGTTCCTGTATTATAACTCATTACTATGGCAATTTCCAAACATACAGAAAGGAGACTATCAGTGACATTTGCTGAGAAGAAGAGCAGAAAATAGTTTGTGGGGGAATAGTGAACATCCTCATTTGCATATTGTTACAAAAGAGAGTATGCAACGCACAGAATGTTAATTACTACAACTGTATTTTTTTAAAAAAAGAATTGAAAATACATAGGATATACAGATAATGTGGGCGTTGTGAAGACTAACCACAAAATTCCTAACTGCAAGGACATATAAAACCTGGATCATGCAAAGATTCTACCTACTAATCTATAGTGCACCTGAAAGAGGACTATTTTCTGCCTCCTTATGGGAAGGAGCCAAAGAAATTATTCCATAATAACCTCCATATCATAACTAAACAAGTATGATTTGAGACCTACAAGGGGAGCTTCCAGGGTTAATTTTTTAAATCTTAATCACTTTCTCTAAAATAACTTCCCGTTTGGTGCCTTGAACTTTTAAGGGCTATTAGGTTATCTCCATATAAATTTTGAAAATCTGCATCTAAACTGATTTATCACTCCTGCTTTCACTTAGGATGTAGAAGGCAGCAAGAGAAAGTTGTTCCCATCCTAAGAGGATGGGAGCAGATGCAGGATAAACTACCAAATCGTAACTTTCTGGAGCCCGTTAGGGAGCTGAGGTTACAGAGCAGACAGGTGAACTGAATGGCAAAGGGTGATGACCCCTCTGGGGAAAGATGGGCGAAGCAAGCGGTTAACTCCCATCAGAGCACAGGAAAGTGCAGGCTGGAACCCAGGACAACGAGCATGAAGGTGGGGGAGCATCAGCAGAGAGGTGAAGGCTATAAAAGCATCCCAATGGAAATACAGGGGGAAACCACGCAATATCAAAGATAATGAATTTTTTTTTGAGCTTCACAGACCTAACACAGCAGAGAAAAGTCAGAAAATGAAATTAGATTGGTTTTTTAAAGTAAAACACATTATGCACATATATTCTGGGGCTTATATCATCTGTAAAAGTAAAACATGAAAATAATAGCATAAAGGACAAGAGAAAGGAAATGTAGTGAAATTGGAAGGTTATTACATTATTTGTGAAGTGGTGTAATTGAAACTTGAAGGTAGACTGTGATGAGTTAAAGGATTATACAGGGGTGGGCAAAAGTAGGTTTACAGTTGTTCATATGGAAAAAGGCATACAGGTTATGATTATAATACAAGAATAAACTGTGTTTTGTATACTCACAACTGTAAACCTACTTCTGCCCACGTATTATAAATCTTTCAACTGTCTTTATAGAACACTTCTCCAGACAAAAGTAGAACATACATTCTTTCCAAGTACTCACGAAACATTTAACAAGGTTGACCTTTGTATGACTATCAAATAAATCTCAACAAATTTAAGAAGATTTAAATCATACAAAGTGTATTCTCCAAACACAATGGAGTTAAACTAAAGATCATTAAGAAAGATAACAGAAAAGTCCCCAAATATTTGGAAATCAAACCGACATGTCTAAATAATTCATGGTCCAAAAAAGAAATCACAAGTGAAATTAGAAAATATCTTGAATTAAATGAAAAGGAAAAATAAAAATATCAGAACTTATGTGATACATAACACTGCTCACAGAGAACTTAAAAGCATTATATGTTTATGTTAGGAATAAACAAAGTTTCTTATATTGATCTCAGTTTTCACCTTAAGAAACTATAAAAAGGGAAACAAATTAAACCAAAGCAAATAGAAGAAAACAATAAAGATTAGAGCAGAAATCAATTAAAACAAAATTACAGAAACAATAAAATGAAATAAAATGCTGGCTCTTTTAAGAGATCAATAAAATTGATAACCCTCTAGCCAGATTGCTCAAGAAGTTAGAAGACACAAATCCCTCATGTTGAAACTGGAGATATCACTCCAGATAATATAGATGTTAGAAATATAATAAAGTAATGAATGACTTTATGCCAATAATCAATAACTTAGATGACATAAACAAATTCTTTGGATGACAAGTACTATCAAAGTTCATTCAAGAGGAAAAAGATAACTCACATCTATTAGAAAAAATAAATCCAAGTTAAAAATCTTCCCATTAAGAAAACCAGAGGCCTAAATAGCCTAACTGCTAAATTCTATCAAACAATTAGAAATAAAACCAATTCGACCCAAACTCTTCTAGAAAATAATAGAGGGAAAAAAATTTCCCAAATCGTTGTTAGATCTGATAACAAACCCAGAAAAAGTATCTCAATAGAAGAAACTAGAGGTCAAAATTTCTCATGTACACATGTGTAAAGATTCTTAGCAAAATTTTAGAAAGTGAAATCAAGGAATTATGAGAAAATTAATGATTAAGTTTTATTCATTCATTACAACAATCACTCATATAAACAAATCAAATTCAACATTTGGAAATCAACCAAAAAAATTCACCATAGGAAAAGAAGAGATTATCTCAAAAAGTTTACAGAAAATATTTGACAAAATACAACATCCATCCAAATGTGAATTTCTTCACCCTGAAAAAGGAAATTACAAAAACCTACAGCTAACACTGAAGACTAAATGCTTTCTCCCAAGATCAAGAACAAGGCAAAAATGTCTGCTTTTGACACCTATATTCATCACTGTAACAGAGGTCCTCTACAGTGCAGTAAGGCAAGAAAATGAAATAAAAGCCATATATATTGGAAAGAAAGAAATGACATTATCAGTTTATGCTAAAAATTCTTATGTCTCTCAGCAACCTTAGTTTTAACTCATTTTTGGGAGAAACATTACAAATTTAATAACCTAAAATGTATTTTGAAAATGAAATTTAAAAATTAAAACTTGTATGAAGAAGAGTGATATTTAAGACACATTTTTTAATCTAAAACATTCTTAAACCAGTTTTGGATTTTATACTTTCTACAATGTTAAGGACTGTTTTGTTCAGGTATTATACCAAAAAATATGATTTATTCAATATTATGGAACCAATTTATTTCTTATAGGAAAAGAAAAACAATTCTTTTCTCTAGCACTAAAACAGGCCCAGATGATAAAATTGAAATAAAAAGCTACACAATGTGTGTTTTATGAATAAAGGATTTCATGATAGCACTTAACCTGTACGGCATTAAGTAAATTCAACTTTACTGACCTTTGACTAGATTTTGTCTAACTTTTAAAACAGCTCCAACATCGCAATCGGCAGTAGCATATGCATGAGGTATAGTACTTTTAGATTCAGTTAACCTCTTGGCAATGACTCTTCGAATATTGCTTGCTGGGATTTCAGTAAATGTGCCCTGAAAAAAATAGCAATCTGTCCATTACACCATAAATGGAAGGTGGGGAAAAAACAACTTCATAACAGAAATCAGGTCTCAGTTACTTATGATAATAATTAAAGGTTAATATAGAAAAAGTACTATTAAAGATTCTTAGTATAAGAAAGAATGTAAGAAATCTGAGGAGTTTTAACACTATAGTATATAACGAGAAAAAAGGCATGAGGAGTATCATGATTATAGAGCATATATATGGTCTTGAAGCTGTGGAACTTGTAGTAAACAAATTGAATCACAACTCTAATGTTCTTTTTAGAAGTTAGCACTGTACAAATAAAGTTGATTTGTCCTAAGAAATCTGCAAAACAAAGCATTTGGAGTTTTGTCTTTATCACTTTTAACGGATACCAAAATAGATCGCTAAAAGTACTTGTAAAACATACAGAAATAGTGCTTATTTTTTCTCCCATTTAAATCTGAAAAATAAAAATCTGCTCAGATGACATTACCGCTGCGTTAGGTTGTCCAGGAGTTGACACCGGTGGGATCGTCGGCCGGGGATAAGATGGCCTGGCGGTGGTCTGCGAGGGCAAAGGTGCAGTGGGCGTGACTGGAGGGGCTGGGGTCGGGCGGGACTCAGGGATCTTGCCCGTCTGTTTCAACTGGACAAGCTTGAGAGCATCCCTGGAGACAAGAGGGAATTAGAAACCATGATTAGCAACAAGAGCTATAATAGAACTCTTAGAAAATGGAGGTGAGATTTGAAGGGGAGATACAGAAATATACACATGTCAAGGCTATAATGCAAAATAAGTTATCTGAGCTAGACAAGTAAATCTTGTCTCTTACCTAGTCTGCTGATTCATATTATTTTTTCTATGGCTACAGTATTTGTGCATTTTCAAAAACCAAACAACAATCAGAATTTTGTCAAAGTACTGGGTATAGATATTCAATAGTTATTTTATAAAAAGAAATTAGTCATTTTTCTCCGGGTGGGGAGGGGTGTCATTTGGCAAACAAACAATTCATAAATTAAACCATACCCTTATATTTGTGAAACTGTTTTCACAAGGCACACGAAATCGAGCTTATTGTTCCTATGACTTTCATTAGGATATTTACTAATCAACTTAAGTTCAAATTAGCTTGTTTACAGACAGAAAAATCACACCATTATTAATTTTGCTCAATAAGCTATCAGCACAATCTAACATAATAAACCTAATCCACAACATCATTTAGAATGAAAAATAACTAGTAATAAACCTGCCTTTGTATTATTCTGTAAAACAAAGGAATCTCTGTTTTTTAAAAAGATATAATTCACTTACATGTCAAGCCCTCAATTTTTATAAATTAGACAGATGGAAGTAAGCATATTGCTTTAAAACATTAACTCAATTTGAAAATGTTAGTATTACTGCCAATAGAAATGTGGCACAATTACAGCAATCTTACATCAGTTCCTATTCCTATTTGACTAATCTTTGTCTTCCCATTAGAGCAAGTTTCAATAGAGCTAGCACTGTCTGTTTTAATACACTCTTGAAAGACACAAAATTTAAACAAATGGGAAGACATTATCAATGTTCTTGAAAAGGAAGACTCAACATCAAAAGGATGCCAGTTCTAGGTTAATTTAAAATGTGACACAATCCCAATAAAAATACCACAGGTCCCCTGCCAAACCCTGCCAATAGGGCTAGACAAAATGTTTAAAATTCATGTGGAAGAATTAAGAGTGTGGTACTAAAAAAGTATAGACAAAAATAGAAAAGAAAATCCAAAGAGAGACCCAACTATCTACAGAAATTACTTTGATCATACAAGTGAATAAAACCCAAATAGATAAGAACAAAATTGTTTTTAAAAGAGTATTTCTATGTGCCAGAAATTTAAATGCGGTTTCACATTTATTTCATACAAATTGTAAACAACACAAAATTCCACTATTCTGCACTCTAATTTTCCGCATTTGTAAAGAACTGGCTTAGTTATCAAATCAGAACCATTCTTCAGTAATGTTGTGATTATTCAGAAAATAACCCTTGCAGAGAATACAATTTTATACAGACAGAAGTAGAAATACAAAAAAATAGTGTACTTCCTTGTAAAGCTTAACACTGAACAAACTTTTCTTTAAATATTTTCAGAAAGAACAAGCTTGATAAATAACAAAATTGGTTACTCCACAAAGCAGACACGCACTCTTTCGTGAAGACCCCCCGAGGACCGGTGGCCGTGCCCTGGCTGGCATCCAGTGTGTGTTTTGCCAGAATGTTACGGGCAGCTGGACTTAGGCGGAACCTAAGAAGAAAACATGAAGATTAGGGGACTCAATTAACACTTACACTTGATTCAAACATATCTAAATGTCAACACTTTTGTTAATAATTAAAAAAAAAAAACACAATAAAGCTGAAATCATCACAAATAGATTAATTTGCACTAATCTGGTTCTTTTAACATTTTCATACAAATTTAGCTAGTTCCTATTTCAAAATATTCTTTTAAAAAGAGTAAATAGTCATAAGGCGAGAGTCTACTTTTCACATGGCTCATCACCCAGATAAATAAGGTGCAAACTATAATGTTCCTTCTTTTTCTTTCACGGTAAAATATCTTTACCATTTACCATTTAAAGCATTTCAGGCGTCTAAGTGAGTGGCATTTAGTACAGCCTCATGGTTGTATGACCGTCACCACCATCAATTTCCAGAACCTCTTCTTCCCAAGCAGAGACTCTGAACTGTTAAACAGAGCTTCCCTGTCCCCCTGCCCCACAAACCTTGGCAACCCATCATTCTACCCTCTGGCTTTATAACTTCAACCCTCTAGGTAACTCGCGTAAGCGGGACTCATACAGGAGTTGTCCTTTTATGAGTGGCTTATTTCACTTAGCACAATGTCTTCAAAGTTCATCCATGTGGTAGTGTGTGTCAGCATTTCCTTCCCTTTTAAGGCCGAGTAACATTCCATTGTACAGATATAGCACATTTTGGACACATGGGTTGTTTCCACCTTTGGGTTATAGTTAATAATGCTTTTATGAACATGAGTGTCAAATATCACTCTGGGTCCCTGCTTTCAATTACTTTGAGTATTTGCCCAGAAGACAAACTGCTGTATCAGAGGGTAATTCTATTTTTAATTTTTGAGGAACTGGAACTACCGTACCATTTTCCCCAGTTAGTAACTGTACCATGTTACATTCTCACGAATAGTGCGTAAGAGTTCTAATTTTTCTACATCCTTGTCAACACTGGTAATTTTCTAGGGTTTTCTTTTCCTTTCTTTTTTTAATAATGGCTATTCTAATGAGTGTGAAATAGTATCTCATTGTGGTTTTGATTTGCAATTCCCTAATAGTTAGTGATATTGGACATGTTTTCATGTGCTTATTGGCCACCTGTATATCTTCTTTGGAAGAAATGTATACTTGGGTCCTTTGCCTATTTTAACTAGATTGTTTATTTTTGTTGTGTTTGAATTGTATCTTTCATGCATTTGCTCAAGTCCTTAGTATTTCCATGAAAGCATTTTTCACTTTATATACACTCTAGAAGAGTCAGAGAGGCAAAAACAGCTGTGCCGATTCTATAGACAAGGAAACTGAGGCACATTGAAAGGCAACATGACTAGTAAATGCCTACTCTTCAGTTGAGGCCGTAAAGCATAGCAGCAAACACAAGTCAGATGAGGAAAATCAATAAAATGAGCTGAGCCCGTGAGCTTATCACTTGGAATGAATCGGAACAAATGCAGCACATGCTGCACATCGGCCTCAAGCTGATATGGACTCAGTGCCAGCAAATCTACACTGAAATTTCTGATTTGTATGTAAGATTAACCAATCAGTTCAAAATGTTTTAAAGAAAGAAAATCACTGTATGGGCCAAAACTGTGCAGGTTCACGTCAGCTGGTTTTTAACCTCCCCCATCAGGCCTCAGACCTATGAAAGTCTCTAATGATGAACCTTAACAGAAAGAATACACATGATTATCTATGAAAGGGGAGAAAGGCATTAAGTACAAAGCATCCACGAGCCTACCTTATGATTTTGACAGTAAAGACGAGAAAATAAAGGGAGTTATGACAATGGAGTCACAAGTATTGTGTGATAACAGAAATTTAAAACTCAGTACTTCAGAAATACTTTTTTTTTCTGACAAGAACTGACAATGGTAAACTAAAGCAAAAAAATACTAAAAAAAAAAAGGGTTTGACTTAAGTTCCGAAGTGATTTATAGGACATTTTCTCTACAAATAACTTATTCGTATGAAGTTATTTATATTCTAGAGAATATTAAATAAGTGAAACTTGTTGGAATTTTCAGAGTCCACCAATGAAAGCTATGTAAAGCTAACGTAAAACAATGTTTTACTTAGTATCTGTGTTGTTACAGAACTACACAAAACAAAGCTCTAATCTGACTCAAACTCAAATGCAAAATAGCTGGACAAGGAATGCATGTTAAAATGCTAATTTCATTATCAATTATACATTTAAAACTGGTATTCATAGTACAGTAATTAAATTACATGAATGGGGACACAGCAGGAAGTTTTATATACGGAATTCCATTCAGAAATCCTACAACCTCATTCAAGCTCAGTGTGGACATAGATTGTTTTGTTTTCTGCTGGGTGTACAAGGCTTGCCCAGCACCGGAACACAGCATGTGCTCAATAACCATTTGTTTGCTGAATGATGATGGTAAAGTACTCATTCCTAAACCTCAGTTTCCAGAGAGAAAAAAGGGGAAGGTCAGCAACTTCCTACTTAATGTACAAAGATGCTTTAAATAGTATATGATTAAAATACTCTAAAAGCTGTGTGTGTGTATATATATATATATATATATATATATATATATATATAAAATTTTATACATCATCATTCAAATAAACATACTCACTGCAATTTTCCTGGTGTGTGTTCCTTTTTGACAGGGACAGAAGTCGGTGGTTCTGGTGAGGGGCGAGGAGGTGACGGTTTTGACGCGGCTGCTGGAGGACCTACATCTTTGGGAATTTCAACATTTTTCCAATCTTCTCCTTCTTCAACGAGCAAGCCAATTAGTGAACCCAGCCGTATATTTTTAGATCCTTCTTCAACCTACATTTTAAAAAGAAAATAACTGCAGAGATGGAAAGGCTCATGACCCCATAAAACAGTTTATTCCTTCACTGGACAATTCTGTACTGGTTAGAAAGATCCCAATTTGAGCTAAAATCTGATTCGGCCACCTCCTCCTACTTATCACCTTCCTTTCCTACCTTCCCACAGTTACACCTTCCTTTTACCACCTTTCCCCTCCCTGTTACTGATGCTATCTCCTGAAATAAATAAATATATATGTGCATGGATACATATCCAGAATCTCCCTTCTTTATGACAACCTTTAAATATAGAAAACATATCTATGACCATCTTCCTTCTTAAATCCAAAACAAGACTGTGTTTACATACTCGACTATTGATATTTGTCTTTCCCAGAGTCTGTATACAATGGCTTAAGAATTCCAAGAACTCCTAAGAGATTAATTCCCCCAAATAGGTTCTATTTACTTTACTAAAATTCATTAAAGAAAACATTTTCAATAGACTTAATCATTGTGTAGATAGAATTGGTTAACTACTCTGGTTAATGTTAAGTGTAGCTTCCACTTTTCTCTATGTATTTATTTACAAACTTGAGACAAAAGTAAAACTTCATGAAATTTTCATAAGTACATCAGAAACATAGTGCTGATCCAGCTAACCAAACACATTTTCACGGATATTGCCAATTAGAAGTATAAATAAGATTGAAGATAAAACTTAAGATAAATATATTTTAAGTGTTTCAATAGTATTATTTTTAAAAAATCAATTCTTATTTACTTAATTTAAAAAAGTCCCTAGAGAGCTTTCAGATGATAATATTTTATAAGTTCAGTAACAGAAGAAAATTATCATTCTTCTTCTTTAAATTGTCATTTAAAATTTGTACTTATTCCCTTTCAATTACTTTAAATAAGGTTCATTACAGATATAATTGAATGAATAATTGAATGACAGGCAGCAGGACATTGACTAATACAGCAATTATAAATAAACTCCTAGAATGAGACTGACTTTTCTGAGTAACACTAATTTTGATGCTGATTAGTATGAGCACTATTCCTAAAATAATAGGATCTAAGTTCCAGAAGTAAGGAGGCTTTCTAAGTTACTAATTACTAATGGAGAAGGAATGAAACAATGCTTTGATAAAGCAAAATATATATAAGAAATATGTATTTAAAACTCAGTAAGGACGTTTAAGGAATAGCAAGCTGTAAAAAATAATGAGAGACCCAAGAACAATTTGTTTAGTGCTTTGTCACATACTAAAGTTTTGCTTCTTTGGACTGCTAATTTGTCTTTACTACATCAAAAAGATGAGTTAAGATTATCATTTGGTTAAGATTTTGCGTTCTTCTAAATATGTCTAATTACCTGTGTATGAATTGCTAACTCAAAACCACAAAGTAAAATAGCTCATATTCTTTTAAACATTGATTAAAAAAACACTAAGTAATAAAGTCCACTTGATATTAATTCCTATCAATACTGAACCAGGAGCAGGATCAATATCCAAGTACAAAGAACATCACTCCAATGCAAAGCATTCTTTATGAGGAAAGTTGTGTTGAAAAAACATAAACAGATTTCTGAAATCTGAATCAGACACTATATTAAATCTAAAACTGATACCTCAATTGTTTTACTTACAATCAATCATAAAAACGATTCCATATATACCCTACCAAACTGATACCTTCACAAGTAGGCAATGAGCATTTAGTATTATTTCAACTTTTATCAGATCTAAATATTAAGTAAAATTAACTTTTAACTACTCACATTTTTCCCATTAAAAAATGACACCATGAAGAATGATACCCAAATATAATGGACAAGTGTATCCTACAACACAAGTTGAATATATAACAGAAGTTGAAAGAAAATAAAGTCTATTAATAGTTCCATTTAAAGCCATTAAAATCACTAAATGAAGTTAAGATCATTTCTCTGACTTTCTTTATTCTCTGAGAAATAAGAAATCTTTTAGAGGTATGCTAGTTTCCTATAGACTAGATTGCTTGTGTTGCAGTCAGCAAATATTTAAAATTGGGGTAGGCTTAGTAACAGAAGAGTAAATAATGCCCTTTTCAAATTGTGTTTAGAAACCAAACAAGAGAGCCTTTGTTGCTGCTTCCTCTGAGTTCGCACTGCGGAAGTTCTCCACTCCACCACAGCGCCCAGTTCTTTTCCCAGGCACTGAGCTTACTTGATCAAAACCCTCTCCTTCTCTGGTGCTTCTGACCTCTTAATATAAAATGCAGGATTTTTATATTTAGCCCTGCTAAAACTGCTGATTAATGCTGAAATAGTGGATCTAGAATCTGTCGTTCAATGTATTAGCATTCCCTCCCAGCCTTCTATAGACATCGTTGGTTTTAATGCTGGCTCTGCTACTTACTAGTTAGGTGACCTTAGTAAAGTTTCTTTATCTCACCATGACTGTTTCTTCATCTGTAATGGAAATAATAATAGTTGCTACTCATAGAGTTATTATGAGGAAATAAATGAGTTAGATATAAGACACAAAACAGTGCCAGAAATCTATTAACCACTATATAAATATAAAAGGCATTATTACTACTACTACTACTACTACTACTACTACTATTATTATTATTATTATAGTGGTGTTGGTATTTTTCTCCAAGTTACTGATTTTTTAAAACAAAAAATATACTCAACATGGATCAAGACTGGACTACAGAGGAGCTCCCCTTGGTAAGGGTTAGAAATTTGTGCCTTAACGCCCAGCAAACACAAGGCTGGAAGCACTACAGGGTAAACGGCAACAGGAGACCACAGGTAGTAAGGCCTGTGACCAACTATTCTTCCACAATACTCGTACAGAGGCTGAATTCTGTCCCAAGGCATGTCCCCCAGGAAGGGGTCTGTTTACCATAGACATCTCCATAGGCTGACAAAAATCACCTGCAAATGTGCTCTAAACTGCCACCTAAGCCCGTCAGTGTACCAAAAAAGGAGAGGAGATGAAGAGACGGAATAACTGCAGCAATATTTCCCAAGGGGGAAACTGTTTAAGGGGGTTCATTCCACTTAAGTGCGGGTAAATAGTTTTTGATTCTGACATTGAAAAAATAATCACTTAGTTAAGCAATTATTTAACTATTCCTCTTTTTATAAGAAGAATATCTGAGAGCTGCTGAGCAAGTACTGAGGGAGCCTGCGCTGTGGCTGGTGGAGATGAGCTGAGTCACAGGGTGGACCTACTTGCTTTGAAGACATAATAAAGATTGGCCACCAGTGCTTGAACCATTATACAGTTTTCATTTGTTTTTATTCTTTAATAATACTGATTAACTTATATGCAGAATGAACTTGGGTTTAAAAGGAACATGAGTGAGAAACACGGAGGCTGAAAACAAATCAATGACAAGACAAAATACAGAGGGGCCGGAGAAATATTCAGTAAGTCCTTGAATCGAGGTTTGCCTGGCGTTACCGGTAACATGCCAGGCTCTGCTCTAGCACGGTATTAACTCATTTAACTCTTCTAATAATCTTGTGCGGTTTAGTGCTATTATCACTGCCATTTATACATGAGGAAACTGAAGCATAAAAATGTTAAATGCTCAAGATCACAAGGCTTTGGGCATCGAGCCAAAGGCTGTTTGGCTTGCTGTCATGCTGGCCTTCCGTGGGATCAGCACCTAATCTGTGAGCTGCACTCACGCGATCGAAATGGTCAGAGAGCACATCAGGACAGCAATACTGTTTTTAAAAACGGTAGGTTAAAACAGCAAATTAGCTTAAAAGAGAAGTTGTAGAGTCGACTATAACTGATTTAGCTTTTAATTCTTGGGGAACATAGATTCATTTACCATTTCAATAGGAAAAAGTTGGAACTGAGAGTATCTTCCATTTAATAGAATTTGCTCTGATCTTTGAGAGGGTATTTTCTCAATTAAAAATATTAGTCCACAGAAAAGAATTAACTGAAACTCTCACAAGTTCAAATTTCAACCATAAACTTTCAAATTATCAAATATGCAGCTTTGAAGGCAATTGTGGGAATTAAATAAAAAATAAGGGGAGGGGGACTACCTAACAATAAAATAAAATCATATCGGAAAAAATTCTTTAGAAAACACCACTGACATAGTATGAGAGATACAGCTAAGAAATTGATTGAAGAATCTCTAATAAATATCCTAAATATGCCATCCTAATATTCTTTTTATTAATTTATTATTTAATATACCCACCATCCAATTTGCTGAATAATAAATTTAAGATTATTCACTAATACATGTATAATAATTTAAGGTTTTGTGCTCAACAATTTACTTGTGATTAAATGAGAATTTAACTTGCACATTAATTAAACCAATTTGGAAATAAATTATAAAAGTATCTAAACTGACAGCAAATTATTCTTTATTAACATTAAGAGCATCTAAGCTTTTTTCCCTGGTTCTAGGTGAAATGCAATAAATATTACCTTATATTTAAAATGCAATTCAGATGCAAACATTGTATGAGTGAATACAAAGAACAGAATCAAACTGTGTGAGGGGGGGAGGGGGGAATACAAAAACCCTCAAAGGCTGTAGAAATAAATCCCTGTGAATAGCAAAGTAGGTTCTAATTTCTAATACTTTCAAAAATGTAGGAAAACTTAAAAACTAAGTTTTATATCGTCTCTTGGCTTTAATAAGCTCAATTATCCAACTCCTTGATTCTGAACGTAAAATCTCTTTTACGTATTCCTATAAAATCATTTTATTATTTATGCTAATGTGAAAACTATTCCCCAGTGAAAGGGAAAGGTGTAACTTGCTTGTGTGGGGTTGGGAGAGCTGGAAATGGAGTGGGGGAAAAGACTAAAATAAATAAACAAAACAGTAATACCACCTCTTTTTTTTTCTATTTTTCCCTATTAAATTGCACACACTGTGACATTAATATACTCCCATTCCTATTACCCAAAATGCATGTGAAGTGATAATAAAGCCATAAAACCCTAAAATACACATACAGTCTTTTCTTTGGCAAGAAAATAGCTACTTGTGCCACAAAAGCTGCTATCAATCATATCCCCATGGCTTTCCAGAGCATTAAGGAGGCCAGATGAATAGGCACTGCTAACCTATGACATTGTTAGCAATTTGAAATGCACAGCTAAGCGGGTGACTGGAAAATGCTATCAACTCTGGAAGACTTTCACGGCCAAACAATCCAGACAATCTAAGGCTGGGAACAGCTTGCCAAAAGCACACACGATAAAATGTAGCTGGGCTTATTACATATGGTAATTCAAACAACCTTTTTCTTTTCAAAAATGCTGTATAAATTAGTCAAAGAAACTATTTTTGCACGGGTATTTATATTTTTGAAGCTTACAATCTTAGCTGCCGCATGACATATTTACATTTAGTTATAAAAGTAAAGAAATTTTTGCCTTCTGTTTATATTTTCTCCAAGGAAGCATTTTCAAAAAAATGTTTTATATGGCTATTAATATTGTAGATGACATGCGAAGGATGTTTGGCAAATTAGAACGTAAAAAATATCAACAACTAGCAAAAAAGGAAAGGGGATTTTCTAATAAGAAACGCGTATGAAACTGTGTATGGACCTCTATCTAATTAGAGTATAACATTTCAAAGTGTGGTCTTTGGAGAGAACATACAAGCAAGGCATTCTACCCGTGCTCACAGCAGAGGTGAGCTGAGGTTTCATAAGTCAAAACACATTAACGAGGACTACTAATACATGTGCAGCTTACCTGTACAAATCAAATTATAGAGGCATGAATGGATACTTATTTCTAGTCACAAACAACAATTACAATTTATTAGGCAAACGCACAGAGAGAATGGGACCTAACGGTCACCAAGAGCTGAGTGAATCATTTACTAATGGCGGGAAGAGCGACATTTACTGATGCTTGGTGGGTGACAGGTCTTGTGATGATTGTGTATGTGTTCCCTCATTTAATCTCCACTGTGACCCCATGACATACGTATTATTACCTTCACATCATTATGAAGAAAAAGGCAGACAGAAGTTAAAGATTCTGCCAATCATTATGTAATGAGTATCTGGCACAACTTAGCTCTATGAATCAGGCAGCAGTGTGACTCCAGAGGCTACAATCTGAGCTGCCACGCCATACTATCTATTAAATATTCTAGAGCGTAAGAAACAAACATGCACTATTAGTGAATACACCATGTCCATGTAACCCTAAACAGTCAGGCTTTAAGCATTTTAATTTAATATTCCATTTTAAAAAATAATATGCTTAGTACAGAAAATTTAGAGACTATTGGAAAAATGAGGAAGGGAGATCACTTGGTTCTACTCCCCAAAGACAAAACGCTCAGCATTTTTATAACATTTTATTCTTTTCTATATTTATATTTTTCCTTGTAGCCGTAAGATTGTAATCACTGTTTATATACAATTTTAAAATGATTTTCCCAAAAATTTTAAATAATTATTAATGTATAGCATATACAAAAAAAAAATCACATTTTTAATGGAAATAACGGCTACAGGATATTGCTCATTTTCTTCTGTTGTTTAAGTAGCCTCTCTTACATTGCTACGCATTTTGTTTGAAGGGATGTACTAACTTCAGGTTCTAGTAAAACCACTAGAGTATCCAAGATGTTGCTCCACATTTTGAATCAGTTATAAAGAAAAGACTGCCCAGAGAAGAGCTCTCAAAATGACTGCGACAGCAGGCCTGAGGGTGGAAGAGGCCAGAGGAGGGAGAGGTTAATCAATTAACAACCGCTCGGCAAAACCAACAAAAGACTGCTTACATTCCTGGGTGTACCTTGAAACTCTGATTTAACTTCCAAGTGGCTACTTCCGGGATTATTTTAAGAGAATAACCAAGCAGCCTAAGACCAGGTGCCTTCGCTTCTTTCTTATGCTTGAACTTTCTGGACTGTTGTCCACAACCAACCCAAAGGAACAAACACTTCTTCCTTAGGGACTATGCACTTACCCAGAATTAGCTCTTCTTGACCTTCTCCCACTCCCTCTGTCTACAGCCAATGCAAATTGTTTCAGAACAACTTATATCTTTCTTCCTCAAACTGTGCAAGAGCCCTTCAGCTCCTTCGACTAGCTCTGCTCCTGGTGGTTCAGGCTTCCTGCCCCAGCACCCCAGCATTTTTCTGGCTAGCATTTGCCTCAACAAACCCTTTCTTTTTAAAAAAGCTTTTAGCCCATAAATGCCTTTGTTTAACAACTGCATATATTTAAATTTAGATCTGAAAAGGAAATGACTGGTCTTGCTAGATACCCACGCATATTTTCCATTAAAATGTTTATGGAGCAGGAAATATATTATCAACAGAAAAGACCGTCAATTCACTATATTCAAGTATATAGAATATTCTAACACACAAGTTTTTAAATAAATATATGTTTTAAATGATTATAAAAATGCCCAAACTGTAAGAATGAGTAAGAATTTAACCAGGCCAGTGAGTGTGACTATAAAATCCACAGACAAGACTTCACAGAACATCTTCAAACAGTCTTGTCTACAGAAAGGAGGTAAGTAGATGACAATTTTCTCACTTGCAGTCCTGGGACTCCTGGGAATCAATAGCGATAGGATTTTTTATTTTCCTATAATTAGAGTAAAACATTCCTTCTTTCTGATGAACTTCGAAATTGCCAGTTCTAAGCTTTAACCTACTGCTTTCTCTGTCTTCAAATTCCACCTCAAACAGCCTTCTCTCATCCCTCGGGCCAGAATACTTCTCACTCTCCGTGAGGGAACCCCAAATGGTCAGCACCACTGGTCAGGCTGAAATAGTTTTCTGCTGTCTGATCGTCACTGGCTGTTACTCGTCCTTAACACTAAAATATATTAAAGATCTGAATTTAAAATGTATTATGTCGCGGATAATACAACACTATAAAAAAGAGGTAAAAATAAAAGGTAACTTTATTTCAAGGAACTTTACATTTAAGAAATCTTCATCCTGTTGCAAACAATCAAAATAAAAACTTACCACTATTTTGGCCAGGATGCCATCATCACTTGCGTCTAAGGTAACCACAGCTTTGTCGGTCTCTATTTCACACAGGGCGTCTCCAGCACTCACGGCTTCACCTACAAAACAAGACTCAGTTTGTTTTGTCTTTTTAAATATGGATTTGGTATGTGAGTTGGTGTGTGTAAAACATGAATAATAAATACCAAAATATTCAGTAGCTATTTCTGGGCTGTGGAATTACAAGTAATTCTCCTCACATACGTATATGTTTGCCTGTGTATATATGTATGCTCTGTTGTATTTTCCAGAAGCTCTATAATGGACACAAGTGATATTTGTTTTGTTTTAATTTTTTAATTGAATTTTTTTTGTAACGTTAATCAAATTATACAGGTTTCAGGGGGTACAATCCTGTAATATATTATCTGTATATTATATTGTGTGTTCACCACCCAAAATTTGTTATATTAAAAAAATCAAGTACAAAGATTACTGAGCAAATATTAGAAATGAAATTACATTATAGAGACAATAGCAATGAATATACATTCTCCTCTTAAAAAATCTATTCCAGACCCCACGTTCCTTCCCTCATGACATACTTTGACTATTATTCCATGAAAAGAAAAGTTTTACAATTAATAGCACTCTGGGTTAGCATCGTAGGTTGAGCTCAGAAAACCTGCTGGCACCACAGAGCATATATAAATATAGCATATTAAACAAAAAGAGGGACAATATAGATACAATGAGGTCAAATAAGAAACATTTCTGTGCAACACAGACAGCATGGAAACTCCAAAATGTTGAGCAGGGCCTGACTTGCTGGTTTGCAGATCTAGAAGTAGATTAGGGGTAAAGTGCAGTACTTACTCTTTGAGTAAAGAAAACTAAAAGTGACCTTAGGAAGCCAGGGGATTCAAATCAGATCCTCAACTTAAAGCTGGGTTAGGGTTCCTCTGTTCCTAACAGGAGGCTGATAAAAGACGCAGTCAACACCTCTGGACTAGTGTGACTTTAATTAGAACTGTGGGTCTAGGAAGGGGAGGGAACGAAATACTGCCTCAATCCTCGGAAGAGCGCCAGGCCAGCCTCTGGCTCCATTACTGCACCTGCTAATATCTCTAATATCAATAGCAAAATCCCTGATCAGAAGGTGGGGGAGGGAAGGAATAGGAGACAGGTGGGAGGACATTAAAACACAAACACCTTCCACTTAAAAGTAAATTTCAAAACAGAATTCCAAAACATATGGAGAAATCTAATGCTAACAAAGGAAACCACAAAATCAATAATTGGGACAGAAATTCAGTTTTGATGCAATTCATTTAGTGCAACCTGCCAAAGATTTTAAAATAAGTATTTGAGGATGTTCAGAAATATAGATGAAAACATCCATCACAAAAACAAGAGATAGAAAAAACAATAATGTACAGGAATACAATAATATCAGGTAGAAAGAAAAAACTAGAAATCTTAGAAATGAAATAAATCTTGGAAGTGAAGTAAAAAGAAACCATCAACAGGGCAAACTATGTTCTAGATGGACATAGTGAAGTGAATTGGTAAATCATAGATAGCAATAAGGAGCTACCTAGAACTTAAAGAGCCAGACAAGAAGGTAAAAAATAGAAGAGAGGAGTTAGACATAGATTGAGATGGCAGTGTTTGTTTAATGATGTTCCAAGGGAAGAGCTTGGAAGAAATGGTGGAGAAGCAATATATGAAAAGATAATTTGTTAGAACTGAGAAGAGCCATGTACCCTCAAAATGAAACAGCGCTGAATGCGTTTAGAATAACAGCTATCCATGGCACACTGACTCAAAGAGCACAGGGAGCCTCCTGGCTTGTTGGAAATGTTCTGTACCTTGATCTAGGTGGTGGTAACCTGAATACATGTGTATGTAAAAATAGTTGTAACTGAGTTTACACTTTCTGCAAGGAATAACTTGATTAAAAAAAAAAGTTAAACAGAAAAAAAGGGTATTAGACTGTATAAACATGAATCCACATCAGACATACTATAGAGAAACTGCATACTATCAACAATAAAAACACAATTATGAAAGCTTTCAGAGGAAAAAAAAAAACCAGATTACCTCAGTGGACTGACAGACCGAGAGCATGCTGGTCAGCAGCTGCTACAGAGGTCGGAAGACAGTGGAGAAATATCTTCAAAAAGCTGAGGAAAAATAACTGTCTAGAATCTTATATGCAGCCAAATCAACATTTAAGAATGAAGGAAAAGTATTCTTTAGACATATAAAGGCTAAGAAAATTTACCACCTATTGATGAGTTATTACAAAATGCAGTTCATCAAGAAGAAAAGGAGACACAGAGGAAATCCATGGGATACACAAAATGATTAGCACACAAATTAATAAAAGTGTTAACTATGAATTATTGTCAAGGTCATTGCTGAGTATTTGAAAGGTGTAAAGCTCAAACTCTAAAAAAGAATAAGATGAATAAGGAAATGTTTAGGTGAGAGTTAAAGCATGCTAAGAACTTTGATACAGATAGGAGAAAAAATACCAAATAATTATAGATTTTATTGGCAAAATTTCATTAAATATGTATGTTAAAAACTTAATGGTGGACACCAAAAAATATAAAAATAGAAATATAATCTACAGTAATCAAATGCTGAGGAATCAGAGAAATAAAAACTAACATCCAACTGAAGGCAGACATAAAAAAACAGCAAAGAATAAAAACAAACAGAAAAAGTAGAAGTCCAAATGTATCAGTAACTGCAATAAATACAAATGAATTAAAACCACCTACTAAAAGCAGAGATTATCAAAATGAATTTAAAAAATAAGATCTGGGTACATGTGGCTTACAATAGAGAGACCTAAAATAAAAACAGAATAAATAAGGGCTAGAAAAATATGCAACATACAGATTCACCCTCCTCACACACACACCAAAAACAGTTGGTACAGCAACATTAACAGGCATACTCAGTAAAAGAGCGTGAAGGAAAATCTAAAATACTAAGGTAACAAATATGCTCTGCAAGTTCACTGTACAGAAACTAATTCATTGTATACTAAGATTTCCACATAGATGGTGGTTCTGTATTTCAGTTAAAACAGCTCAGAACCACCAATACATACTGTTTTAATGAAATAAACAAACTTATCTGTTAGGTAATATCTAATGAACACCTAAAGGAGCTTGCTCTAACCCCAAAGAAATTTTTCTACTCAACAACTATTTATTGAAAATGCATTAGGGCACTAAGAATACAGAAGCGGGGGTTTGGGGAGTAGTTAAGATTTCTGACCGCAAGAAGCTTGATTACTTTCTAGCGACAAGTTAATTATAGTAGTATTAGGTGCAGTCAGGGTGCTACGGGAATTCTTAGGGTGGGCAACGACTTCACTTTTTTGGAAGGTAAAAGACATCTAATCTGAGCCTGAAAAGATCAGGAGGAGACAAAGGAAAGGAGCAGTGATCCAGGCAGACGGCACAACACACCCAAAGTCCTGGGGGCAAAAGAGAAGAGGAAACTTTGGAGGGTCTGCCTAATAGGAACTGAGAGGAGGGCTGAGATATTAGGATGGAGAGGCAAGTAGAGATCAGACCAAGAAGTCCATTCCTTGTATGTCATACAGAGTACCCTACAGTGCCCGATTATAGAACCTTACACACTTCTTTATATGACAGATGTTTTAGTAGTTAAAATAGACTGTAGTTCAGGAGGGGATAAAAATCACACCTTTATTTGTTTCTGCTGTAACCATGGAAAAACCAACTGAACTAGGCAACCTAGCAATTAAATACTTCTAGAAAAAAAATTCTGGCCATAGGAGAAGAGAAAATGATGTTTTCTTGAGCTCACCTTTTTCAAATTCCAAATGTTCTTTAAGAACCACCCACAAGTTCTACTTCAGCCATAGGTCAACACAGACATTTTTGTTCCTTTTCCTGAATTCCCATAAAAGTTGTAATTTATGTCCAATGAATCAGAAATTGCATTGTAAAATGTTATGTTAATTACATTTTTAAAAATTAGGTTTTCCTTTATATACCAGATCATGAGCTTCTTCACAATAAGGACAGGACACACCTTAAAGTGTTTTATAATCTACCTGATTCCCAGTCTAGCACCTCAAAGATAATCAGTTTGAGATTAAAACACTTCAGGAAAAAAAAATTACAGTAATTTCACACATCTTCATTTCCTCATAAGGTATATATCAAACTGTTCTTTATATTTCTTTTAATTCTAACATTTGGTTGGTAGTATACTTTTAACATTTAAAAACTTAGGTAATCTGTTTCCCTTTTATTTTTATTATATATACATCTATTCACATAACATAGACATATATATCAGCTATATGAGAAGGCAGAGATAGAGAGAGAGGCAAGAAACACAGGGAAGGATCTATCTACTGTGTGGTGAACTTTCCCAAGGACCCATAGCCAAATTCAAAACACCGTTATTATTATATAAGAGCACAGTATCCCTAATTTATCATGAAACTAAGGTTATATCAATTAATCAAACATAATGTAAATGCCAAAAGAAAATTTTGAGACCAAATAGTTGGCCATGAAGATTCCCTGACCAACAATTTAGCACTATCATTTAGAAAAGCTGCAAGACAGAGTAGTTACAAGGAACCCTTCCAACTCAGACACAGGTTTGAGTCCAAGCTCTGACACTTCCTAGTAATCTTGACCAAGCTACTCATCTCTCTGTCAGAAAGGCTTTGAATATGCAACTATATGTATATTTTTTTAAATCACAGAACTGGAAATGTTAGGTTAACTCTTCACATGCATCTTCAAATAACACTCTGTAACGTCTTTAGGTAAAAATATTAGGTATGTTATTAAGAACCAAGATGCATTCCAGCTCCCTAGTCCATACCTTGTTATTTCAAACAGACATTCAGCAAATATTAGTGTACAAGGCATTATACAGAGCACTGGGTATAAACACAACAGTAAGATATGGTCCTGTCCACAACTTCATAGTTGAGAGAAGACTGAGAAATTAGGACAGAGCATCAAGGTTGGCGCAGGGTGAGAGACGGCTCCTCAGCTGCCATGTCGGAGGCTGATGGGTTGCAGAAGAGATGGCAGCCTTGCAGTGT